TTCGTAACTCTGAGTACAGGCACTGATTCTGTGATTGCTTCAGCCTTGAAGCACCTACAGAGAAAAATTAATGGGTGCTCAGCACTCACCGGCAGCCAAGCTCCTCCACCTCATGGCACCTCTTCCCCTCCAGTGACCCACACTGATTCCTGTCCTTCCCTCCCAGTACCTCCTGCCCACTGCAAATACCTGTTTCACAGCACTGGGGACACTCTGGAAGGGAGAAGGAAGAAAGGGGACGTGGTGCATTCATGGGAAGAGGTGGGGTAGGGATGGGGAGGGACTTGAAGGAAAGGGATGGAATGTTGGTGGTATGGAGCAAGGGTGGGAAGAAGCAGCATGGAGCCTTAGGGAAAGGGTGAACCAGGTGTGGGAAGAGACAGGGTGGGGATTTGAGGGAAGGAGCGGAGCAGGCGCAGGAAGCGGTGAGGGTTGGGGACAATGGGTGAGGAGAGGTCGAGCACCCCCTAGCTAGAAGAGAAATTGGCACCAATGACTCTGAGGTTCTACTGTACATTGTGAATCTAATCTAAAGGCCCTTGAAGTCAATGGAAGGACCTCACATGATCTTCAGTGAGCCATGGATCAGGCCCTACGGAAGAAATCAAACAAATTTAGGGAGCCTTCACTTTGATATTTGGATTATTTGAGAAACAAGAATGAACATGCTTTGATTACTCTAAGACCCAAAGAAGATAAATAAACATTTCTACTCCTACTACATTGCAAGAACTGTTTTGTCTGTTCAGTCTTCATCTTCTGCTTAAAATGATTTTCCAAACCACGTGTTTTACAGTAAGTACAGTAAAACTCCAATAGTCCGGCATCCAATTGTACAGCACTCCCAATAGTCTGGCATCAAAATGGCAAGAGCCTAGTGAGTGAGCTTCGGCAAAAAATGAGTCACAAGGCAGCAGCGGCAGCAGCTGAACTGAGCAAAAAGGGTTAAAAAAACTAAAACTTTACAGTATACTGTATGCAGTATGTACAATAAAAAGGGTTAAAAGCACTTTATATACAGTATATACTGTATACTATATATATATATATATATAACCAGTTTATAGTACCTCCTGATAGTCCGGCATATCCAATAATCCGGCACCATCTAGGTCCCAAAGGTTCTGGATTATTGGAAGTCTACTGTATGTATAAACTGGGTTGTTAGTGGTGTGATAGTCCATTGTTTCTTTATTATATTCTGTAATTGAGTCTTGATTTTTTTCCCCAGGCTTCGATAGGCATTATATCTGGTATGACTATGGTGTAGGCCTGTCAGATATTAGTTAAGTGTTTGAGATTTGTATGTGATATTAACTTTGTATTTACTAAAAATAATTAGAGGAAATAATTTCTGTAAAAGAAACACACGCACACACTCTCACTCACTCACTCACTCACTCACTCACTCACTCACTCACTCACTCACTCAGAACAGTATAATTGGGTTAAGCCTAACCCAGATGGACAACTCTGCTGGCTGAGAACTTGTATAGATTAATGTTAGTGAAGGCCATTGACTGCTTATCCAGATGTTAAATATGTGTGAAATTCTGAACGGTGGTATTTTAATGCAGAAGTCACAAAATAAAACAAATTAGAGCCAGTCAAACTATTTCTTGAACATTTAGCCCTATTTTCTCTTCAAGAATCCTTCACAAACTTACTAATTTAGAAAATATAATAATTATTTATAAGTGCTCATATTGTTGTAAACAATACAAATAATATCTATTGCAGTAGAGCCAAATAGTCCCAATCAAGAACTTGTTGTGCTAGGCACTGTAATTATTGTTGTTTATTATTAGCGTACAAGTTCTTCAGAACAAGGAAGATGATAAAGGGAAGTCTACTGCTCTGTGTATGTACAGTGCCTAGCACAATAGGGTTCCATTCTTGGTTGTCCCTTTGGTACAACATACTAAATAGGATTAATAATAATTAACTGACCAATTTGTGTTGTAGTAAGGCTTTACCAGAGTGGGTTGCAAATCCAGCTGCCGAACACTACTTTTTTTTTTCTGAGGATGGGTCCAGCACTATTGCCAACAGTGGAAGAGTTAACCTTACAGCAAGAGAAGCAGTTCTGTTAAGCCATAACTTGAGGATGGTAGCATGCACATAGAGATCAAAACACAAGTATGTCAGATCACGGGGAAGCCCAAAAGGAAGCTGAGATCTGGAGACAGTGGATCCTAACATTTTAATCTGGAACAAGAGTAGGCACGTTGAATGCACGCACTATGTGTATTATGGGAAAGCTGTCAAAAGTCATCCAATAAATGAAAGCAATCCATCTGAACAAACATGGTGCAGTGAAATGAGGTGGGCATGGAGTGGCAAGATGGTGTTTAATTCTGCTACCATCTTACACTTAGGAGTAAGAGCGCATGAAAGAGATTTAGGAATTATGTGGATAACATCAAAGTGAAATATCCTGTTGTCTTGGGAGCCAGCAAATTACAGAATAACAAAAGCTACGCTGCAAACAAGAGACGTAATGTGTACAAGAATCTACACTAGAATTTACATCAGTATAACTTGCATTGTTTAGGGGTGTGAATAAGTCACCTCCCTGAGCAAAAGAAGTTACATTGACCTAAGTGCAGGTGTAAACAGTGCTTTGTTGGCAGGAGAGCTTCATTGCCACTCGTTGAAGGGGGATTAGTTAAGTCAAAGGGAGAGCTCTCTCCCATCATTTTAGAGCATTTGCACTAGCAGCACTAGAGCTGTAAGCTCTGTCGTGTAAATAAAGCACAATTATATGACCAACAAATGTATCAGGCAACAGTGAAAAGAATAGATTCTAAAAGCAGGTGCAGCACTATTGGATGGCATGCATAATCAAGACATCAGTTTGATAGATGACTTAAATACACACATTGGCAACAGCTCTATAGACTGGGAAGATGTCCTGGGCACAACAGCGGAAGGCATCCAAACTTACAGTGATGAATGGCTTTTGAATCTCTCTAGTTCAAACACTGTATAGATAGGAGGCAGTTTCTGCTAGCACAAGATTCACAAGTTCACATGGAGATCACCAGATAATGCAGCTGTCGACTAGATAGGTCACGTGTATATCTAAGAAGTGAGCATCTTTTTTGAGGGGTGTCTAAGTCAGCTGAGAAGCAGATGTTGGCTCAGAGCGTTATCTCTGAGGGTCCACACTCCAACTTAAACTCAAAAAGATCACAAAGATGCACAAAGAGAATGTTATAGCAGTTGAGAAATTCTGGGTTAGATTCCAGATTGCATTTTGCAACTGTTCCAGTATTTTACAGAAACAGTAGTTGAGACAGAAGAGGAAGTAGTGGGCCCCCAAAGAGGACAAAAGTAAAATGCATGGATTATTACATCTGGAACACAGACCGTGACTGACAAACAGAAAGCTCTGAAGGCAAAAAAGGACCAGTGCAAGACACAGGCAGAAATCTTAGAAATGGATGCAAGAGACAAAGAAATAAAGAAAAACATTCAGGTGAGATAGAACTGTCTGGGTTCAGAAGAAGTCTCCAGAGGCAGAAGCAGCAACACGAGAAAGGAAGTATCAAGCAGCTCTATAGAATAGTGAAGAACCTCTCAGGAAGACTAGATCATGTCCATCAATGACTGTCATGGACAAATACTGAAAGAAGAACAAGCCTGGAAAGAACATTTCCTTTCCACATTAAACTGTCCAGAGCCAACAGTCATGCAAAAGATGAGAGAAATGCCAGTGCTAAGTTAGAAATAGAAGAAAGATCTTTAAAAGCCCATGAAATTGAAGCAGCTTTCAAAGGCCATATCTAGATAAGGGAAATGCCTGATTTTCACACAATTCAAGGAGGTGTACTGAAGGCAGAAGGGAAAATTCTGAGTGGTTCATAAAACTCTATAATGACATATGGGTGAAAAACCAAGAACCATGGGGCTGAAAAGATAGTATTAGGCATTATGAAAACTGGTAATCTTACTCAGTGCATGGTAAAAGTACCACAACTGGTGAGTGACAGTAATCCGTGGTAAAACTGAGAGCTTACAACCTGAATATAAGACAAGAGATAACAGGTGAATACAACACATGTGGGAGGAACACAAGGTAATGGTGACGTAATTGCATCTGATGAAGCCCATGAAAGCCTATGCCCACATAAAGTTGTTAGTCTTTAAGGTGCCACAGGACTCCACGTTTTTGCTGAAACAGACTAACATGGCTACCACTCTGAAAAAAAGTGGTCTTGTTAGTGTAATAAGTAGCAGACACAGCACAGCCACTGTCTAGCCTTTGTCAAATGTCTGTTAAATGGCAGAGCAAGATTTAAGGAGAGCTTTGAAGAAGGACAATGTAGTGTCTGGGTTTATACCCCTATGCATAAAGGGTGGCCTGGGCAAAAGCACTAAGGTGTTTGAGAGATGGGTGTTAAAGGCTGGCATCATTGGCAAGGTAAGGATGGAGGGTTGAAGGCTTAAATGGCCTTAGATGTAAAGCTTCAGAGGGGTAGCCATGTTAGTCTGTAACTGGAAAAACTTCACTTGAAGAAGTTGGCTGTGCCCACAAAAGCTCATGATACCATCTACATGTTTTGTTAGTCTTTAAGGTGCTGCTAGAGTATTCATTGTTTTTTAAGTAAAGTTTTTGTTTGCAGTGGAAGAGGGAGAACAAGGGGTGGGACTAGTTTGTGATTACATTTCAACCAATTGTGAACTGGTTTTCAGCAATCTGCTCACTTTTGTCTTCCAGTAACAACTGCCAGCAGTCCCTCCCATAGAGATAGGTTTGTTCTGTTAATTGTACTGACTGACTTAGTCCTCAAGCCCACCTTAAGATTGTTCCCTGGAATAGAAAGTATCTCAGCCAACTATACCGTGCTTTTAAGGGGCCTGCACCATGTTGTGTTTCAAATGTACCCGATACCAGAACAAAGCATTTTTAACTATTTGTCCTTGTTTCTGTGTTTCCTTAATCAAAAATGTACTTTTAAAGGTTCACGTGCATAACAAAGTGATCTGTCCTATAGGGTTCTCGATGCTCTTCAGATGCCAATATGCTTGGGGAGATGATGTTTGGCTCTGTGGCCATGAGCTACAAGGGTTCTACATTGAAAATTCATCAGATCCGGTGAGACTCATTCTGTTGGGGTTTTTGTGTTTTGGGGGGAGTTTTTAAACTAACGTCTTCTTCACAAGATTCTGTATTGGAGTAAAAGTGTTGTTCTTCTGAATGTTCCCAGTGCTGAACAGAGGCAGTTTCTCAATTCAGGTACAAATAGTATTTGTCCTGATACTGATTTAGACATACAATAATGCTAGGCTAATTGTCATGTTATAAATGTAAGCCTTTAAAATCTGGAGGGATGTGAATAGAGGACAAGAAGGAAGTCTTGGGACAGTTGTGCTGTACTGACCTTTTCCTTTTTTTGTCTCACAGCTCCCCTCCTCAGCTCATGCTTAGCAAGGTTTTTACAGCTCGAACTGGAAGTAGCATCTATGGAAGTCTAAACACGTGAGTACATTAGAAATGGTATTCTCAGTCTGAGTAGCTGAACCTAACTACTGCTTGGAAGAGAATTCTGATCATGTCAGGAGCCTTAGAATCTTTTATCCATATCACAAGGAACTTTGTATTGTTTCCTGTAGCTTGCCTCCCTGTTATTTGCTTATGATCATCTCCACCTCACCTGGCCGTAAGGAAAGGGATGGACTGTCATTCAGAGTAGTTGCTGGCACTTCGGCAAAACTGATCCTGCAAGGGTTTTTCGTTTTGAGTCCTGCAGAAATCAGTGACAGTTGAGGGCACTCAGTATCTCTTGGGACTGTGATCAGCTGTTTGTCGGCTCAGTGCGGCAGCCATGTAAATTTAAATGAAGCGGCGATTATTTAAATCGCCGCTTCATTTTACCATGTCTGGTAGCCTAATCTACATGCCTCTGGCGACAGAGGCATGTAGTCTAGACATACCCTGAGATGTTACACAGCGGCTTTGTCTTTGAGCTACTTGCTGCTGAGTTTGCATGTGCTAACGAAATGTTAATTACCCTTTACCATGTTAACCCGTTGAATGCTAACCCAGAAGCAGCCCCCTGCTCACATTGTGAGCTCGTTTGGGCCCGCCTTACCACAGTCTGTTCCGGACAGGACAGGCTGAACCCATCACAGTGCAGCGCATTGGGCCTACCATCCCGTGCCATGGGGTGGGGGGTGGAGAACTGCTCCAGGCAGGTTGGCAGCTGGTAAGGCTCATTACTGGGTTACTGGTTAATCCTTTACATCTCTAGTGCTAACTGTACAACTATCCTGGCTTTGTGAGCACTGTTAGGTTAGTGGGGGTTTTCCACAACTGTTGTGAAAGCCTGCACTAGTTGCTAGTGTGTTCCATTCAGGTTATCAATGAAATCAGACAGCACTGTACCAAAATGTGAATTACTGATTTTTTGTTGTTGGGTTTTTGCTTTTCTAGGTTGCAGGACAGTCTTGAGTTCATTAATCAGGATAGTAATACATTAAAGACAGACCATAGTACAATTATGAATGGACTTCTTGGAAACATAGGTAATTTAAAGCTGCTTTTCTTTCTTGGTATCTTTGTTAATTGAATAATCACTAGATTTTTAGACTGTTGCGAACAATTCCATATATGAACATTTATTATCCAGCTCATAAAACACACTGAAACAGTAGCAAGGGATTTTATAAAAAGAAACCTTGGCATAGATTTGAGAAAGGATAAACGATACATCTTAGGTTTTGGTATTGGGATGCGGAGCTTTTTTTTCCATCTTCATTAGTGGTTTAAATACTGCCTATATGAGGAAACACCACTTTCCTTGATCAGAGAGGGTTGATTCTGTCTAGCTCAATTCTCCAATTCTTGTTAGTTAATTTAATGTTCAAGCCAAAGTTCTTTTATAGTTAGAATACAGTTGTCTGGAAAAAGTTAATTTGAAAATTTTAAATGATCAACATCCAAGATTATCTGTAGACATGCATACTCTTCTGCTCTAGTATCCAGACCCCTGAGGTGAATTGAATGTTGTGCCCCCAAATGGGGTTTTGGCTTCAATAATGGCATCAGTTCTTGGGAACAAGGATCCACCCATGTACTCATAAGTCTAAGTGAGGCTACATTTGTGCTTCAAGTTAAACATGGGCTGAAACTGCAAACGTGAACCAGCTTTAAAAAGGCAGAGAAGGTTCACACATGGTTTTTCCTCCTTGTTGTGGCACACATTTGTTTAAAATTTACACCATCACTTCCAAGCTAATTGAGGTATAATAATGATAATAGACTTGCGCTACTTTTCTTGCCATTAATTCATTTACAAGAGAAACCTTGTAAAGGAGTTTGAGATTATGGTTCTTTACATGCATCCAAGTTTACAAAATATGGAAAGTCAATGTTATACAACCTCTCATTATTCAGTGTTTCCTTTTGGCATTGTGTGAGATTTTTAAAAGTGCCCAACTGACTTAGGAACCATAGTAAATATGTTCTTTATCAGGCACTTTCCTCTGCAATTTGTATGACATTGGCATTTGTCTGGCAAAACTGCTGATGTGCCAACCCCCACTTCCCTCCACCCCTCAGAAAAAAAAAAGAAATCCACAGGGAAAATTAAAACTTGGGAATTGTCACTGTATGATCCAATGATATAAGTGCTACAAAGCACCATAATGCTGGTGGTCTTCTGCAGCCACAAAAAGAAGAGAATTCTCCTGCTGTGCTGTGGTAGGACGGGCCAGAACTTTGATTGGTGGAAAGTCACAGAGAAAAAGAACAGAAATACTGAAACTGCAATGAGACTGTACAAACTTTCAATCCTTTCATGAGTATTTGTTTACAGTTCTCACTTCATGGCAGAGAGAACAATGCATAAGATAAGGCCAAAAAGTTAATCTGTAACTGGAGCATTTGTAATAACTAAATTTAAATTAAAAAAAAAGGTTCTAACCCACAGGCTCCTGCCAACTCATGATATAAAAATGTTTCTGTGTGTTTTGGTTGGAGACTGTTTACACACTACTCTTTTCATACATACCTGCTCTGGTTTTTAATTAGTCCCTGCCATCTTCTTCCTTATTAGGGTCCTACCAAATTCATTGCCATGAAAGATGTGTTGTGGATCATGCAATCTGGTCTTCACCTGTGAAATCTGGCCCGTTGTGTGCTTTTACCCTGCATTATACTGATTTCACAGGGGAGATCAGTGTCTCAGATTAGAATCCTGACCCAATAGGGAGTTACTGGAGGGGGAGAAGGAGTCACAAGGCTATTTTAGGGGGGGATCGTGATATTGCCACTTTTACTTCTGTGCTGCCTTCAGTGCCGGCAGGAGAGTGGTAGCTGTTGACTGGGCACCCAGCTCTGAAGGCAGAACCCCACCAATAGTAGTGATGCCACCCTTACTTCTGCGCTGCTGTCTTCAGAACTGGACGGCCAGAGAGTGACAGCTGCTGACTGACATAAAGATGGCAATACCATACCAATACCATGCCATGGCATCCTTCTGCGCTGCTGGTGCTGGCTCTGCCTTCAGAGCTGGACTTCTGATCAGTAGCTGCCGCTTTCCACCTGCCAATCTGGAAGGCAGCACTGCCATCTGCAGCAGCGTAGAAGTAAAGATAGCAATACTGCAACCCCCCTACAATAACCTTCTGACCCTTCACCAACTCCTTTTTGGGTCAGGACCCCTACAATTACAACACTGTGACATTTCAGATTTAAATAACTGAAATTTTAGACGTTTAACATCCTATGACCATGAAATTGACCGAAATGGACCATGAATTGGGTAGGACCCTATTAATTAAGAACTCAGTTATTTAAAGAGAAGGAAGATTACCTAGAGTTATCTAGGGAAGTGGTGGAATCTCCATCCCTAGAGGTTTTTAAGTTTCGTCTTGACAAAGCCCTGGCTGGGTTGATTTAGTTGGAATTGGTCCTGCTTTGGGCAGGGGGTGGACTTGATGACCTCCTGACGTCTCTTCCAGCCCTATGATTCTATGAAGAGGCACTTTAGTTAAAGTGCAGTCTTCTGAATTTTTAAATACATTTGCATAGAAAACCTTGAGTGCTCAATAGTTTCCCAAATTCAGCTTTTTGGTGCAGCTTGCAATTAACTAATTAAAAATGTCAGTGTTGTATTTTTTTGTGATATATGTAAAACAAGCATAACCTAGTTCCCTGATGCAACTTATGTATCAGTAATTAATTTTTCTATGATTTTAAAGTTGTTAATGTTTATTTTCTATCCACCATTCTTAGGACCAGTGTCATGTATTTACTCCTAATTTGCAATTTAATTCTAACCTATAATTTTTCTTGCCACGCTATTAAATTTAATTTACTCATGCTTTCTTTCATCTTCTTCCAAGAGGGAGTATTCTAGCCATTCCCTCAATGGAGATGTACAAATAAATGTTTGACACCAGACTAAATCTAATATCTTTGTTAAAGTTTTAAGCAAGTAGTTGTTCCTAACTTCCAGCATAAATTATTTATTTATTTTTAAAAAGTCCCTTTTATTCGAGATAATGTAAAATTGGATCCCAGGTTTTTAAAAAAATCTTGGAAATACAATATTTTAACTGTAGGTACTTCAGCTTGGATTGTTACTCCTGCTGAGTATAAGAGCTGCATTCCCCTATATCTGTTGGTCTGCATTTGTGCTGGCTTATATCTTTTCCTCTCCTACAGACTCTGCTCTGCTTTACTAACTTCATTCTTTCATATGTATTTTACATTTTGCCATGTAGGTCTTTCACAGCTTTGCAGTCCTAGGCGAGCGTTCTCTGAACAAGGTCCGCTCCGCCTGATCCGGAGCGCCTCTTTCTTTGCAGGTTTGCAGTGTGCTGTGTGGATAGTCTAGTTGATGTAACAAAGATGTGTGGGTTTGTAGTATAGCCATGGAAATAAGATATGTTTTTAAAATACAGTTGTGAAATTGGAGGGGGAAACGTAAAGTGAGTCTGCTTTTTTTAACTTTTTATCATTGGTGAGAAGATGTTTTAAAAGTTCTGTTCTCTTAATGAGTTTTGTTTTTATAGATGCCCATTTGCATGGTGCATATTTATTTTGGAGGCAGTATTTGCTTTACAAACTAATTTAAATCTGGACTTGTTTTATCCAAATTTCAAGAAATGTAGTCACTTTTGGTTCATATAAAATGAACCTTTCTTGTTTTCAGTGGCTTGGTCTCATTTCCATGGCTGAGTAGCTTTTGTTTCACAGATCTGTAAAATATATCACATTTAAGATTATTATGATTGACACTTTTTTTTTGATCTTCTATACGCATAAGGACTGGCTGTGAATAAATATACTGCTCAAAGCTTAGTTGAACAAGCAATTCACTATATAAAGTTTTAATAGTAACCCTTTTCCTTCCTGTTTACTATTATAAGACATTCTGGAAGAATTGTTTATTACATGGTCCAGACTTGAAAACACAGCTTTTATTGAGTATTGCTGATTTGTACACATCTATGATCTAAGTTTCTCTTTTTGTCTTTTACTTAGTGCTTTAGTGGCTTGGCTAATACCCTTTTGGTACATTATGATTTTACTCCATAAATTTGTTTATGAGAGAGAGAATGAATGTTGGCCTGAAACTTTTTGTTCTTAAATAAAGAGGCAGATTTCAGAAACAAAATATGTAAGAGCTTTTTCAAATAAAAATTTTGGCTTGTTCAGCTTAGCAGCATCTTTGGTGATGGGCTTGTTAGAGTGTGTTGAAAAAAATCTAAATTAATGCATTGACATGATGAGCATGATTTGGTTTTATTAATTAAGTGGAACACTACAAACAGGGACAGAAAATGTATATTCTCTTGTTGATTGGTGCCTTATTTTTCAGTTCACAGCAACCCTATGGACATGCCGGGGAGAGAGCAGAATGAGGATAGAGACAGCGGCATAGCAAGATCTGGTAAAATCCAGCGCACTGCGAATAATTGCCATTAGATATTCATCTATCCTGTTATCTAAGCCACCTTCTCTATTGCTTGGTGACCTCCCTAAAACCAGAATCCCAGAAATCTGACTTTCAATACTACTATAATGATCTGTTTTAAAATGTATGTGTTAATTTATTTATATTTATGCAAATGCTAGAGATGAGCATCTATCCACATAGTTCAGGTATCCTTGATATACTTAAAATTGTCTCACAGAAATACTCTGCATTCAGCAGTACAGTTGAATATAACTCGCCCCCAATGAGCCAGGCAAGTTAAAGACTCAAATCTAACTCATAACACACTCAAAAATATTGTATTCCATTATTATTGAGGGGATTAATAATCTCCATTTTCTAATCTGGGTAGTGTCCCTCAATAAACTCAGGTTGATGGGACTTGCATCTAACATGCCATCCTTCCTGTCTGTTTTTCCCTCAACCTTTGGAGAGCTGTTAAGGGATTGAAACTACCAAGTTTCTTATCCATTAAAGAAGATTGTTCTCTTTCCGCCTTGTGGGGCAGGAGGCACAGTGCGAGGTATCTGCATATACGCAGTGCCTACACTGTTTATAAATCTTAAAATAAGAAATGTGTATAGATCAGAGGGATGAGCCAGATGTTTGATTAATCAGATGCCTTTAGTGGGGTCCCTGTAACTGCTAACCTAATTTCCCAAATATTCTTTTCTTTTCTCTTAGCAACGTAGAAAGAGTTTCACTTGTTTTTGTTTTTGTTTTTTCCTTTTTTCCCAATTCTTACAGCATCTCTGAGCAGCCTGCTTATCACTCCATTTCCCTCCCCGGGCTCTTCACTTACCAGAAGTTGTGCCAGCAGTTACCAAAGACGCTGGCGTCGCAGTCAGACCACAAGTTTGGAGAATGGGGTCTTCCCTAGATGGTGAGCTGATGACATAGCTGGCTTTACTTCTCATTCTTGCAAATTCCTCTAGTCTGATTCTGCTCTGGTGTACTCCAGAGTAACGCTATTACATGCTATGGCATATTTATACTGCTGTAAGAGAAATCAAAATTGGATCTCTGGTGCTTTTACTGATTTATTTCTCTATAGTGTTTACTGGTTTTTTTTTCCACACAATAAAACCTGACTACAAATTGCAGATAAAAATGTGGGTTTAAATTCTTAAGAGGAGCCCTGAGATCCTAGTAAAAAAGTAAATGATTGGCAAAGATGGGTGTGAATTGAAATACCAGATCCGAACTCCGCAAACTTCAGATCTGGTCTTTGAGATTTAAGGCCCATCTTTTAATCATGTGTCGTGCTTTTATAGAGTGACAACACTGATGTCACCAAGGAAGATGATATAACAGCAAATGCAAACAAAAGGAGTTTGCTTAAGTTAAATGTTCTGATATTTAAACATATAAGAACTCAAACTGCCATTTAAAGCAATAATTCCTCACTTTTTCCGCCCCCTTCAAGGTCCGTAGAGGAAAGCTTTAATTTGTCAGATGACAGCTCTGGCCCCAGCCCTGGAATTGTTAGGAAAAAGAAGATAGCGATTGGTGTGATATTTTCACTCTCAAAGGATGAGGAGGAAAATAATAAATTTCATGAGTTCTTTTTCTCACATTTCCCTCTTTTTGAAAGTCACATGAACAAACTGAAGAGTGCAATAGAACAGGTAAGCACAGTCTCTTGAGATTCTTGCACTTTCTGTATTTTTGTTGATATTTTTCTTGCATCTTACTGAAGTATCTGTAATACAGTGGGACAGATTCCTCTCCGCTAATGGAGTAATAGCAGATTTGTGCTCAAAGAGCCAGGTCTTTGCCCCTGCTTCCTACTAACAGTAGAGAGACTGTGTTGGGGAGGGGACAACGCATGCTGCAGGATGCTGAAAGGATCGTTGGAAGTTAGAACAGTCCTTAGACTTGCACTGGTTGAAAGGTGACTTAGAACCTCCTTTGTCTCCTTCTCTCAACTATACAGGATCCACTCCGGCTGATTACATTGCAGAGTCAGGATCCACTAGTGCATTCCTATGGGCTTTAAACAACTCTACTATTTTAGTTTTTTGCTGAATAGTTTTACATATGAGGGGTGGATTGATTGTTTCATCTCAAACGCCTCTTCTAGGAAATGTTTTCTCTATGAATGTGCTGCTGCAATGAAAGAGTTAAAGTATGCAAACTTTGAACTCTTTTTTAGCTTGAATGTCTAAAAGTGCAGAAGAGAAAGAGACTGCAAATACACATCCCTCATATAACTCTCCTTATATATGAAAGTTGGCAATGTACCATCGTTTATCATGTTTGAAAAAAATGTTATTTGCCTGACTGGTAGCATAAAAGATAAAGCCAAACACATGACTTTGTTTTCCATTTTCTTTACTTCTGTTGCCATGTATGGTGTTTGTTATCTGTTTAATGATTTTTTTCAAGGCTATGAAAATGAGCCGTAGATCAGCTGATGCCAGTCAACGGAGTTTGGCATATAACAGAATTGTAGATGCCCTAAATGAATTCAGGTGAGTGTTTAGTCTTAAATCTTTTATTGCTGTTTCTTTGGAAGTGCTTGAGATCCTTTGTAGTGCAGTGTTTCTCAACCCTTTCAGATTGGCAATCTCTTATTCAAGTTAAGAAATGATTTGTGACCCACTTACCTTAACTGTAATGGCATTAAAACTACCATTGCAAAACCTATATGATTTACCTGGGTGTGTGTTTTGAGAATCTATGAGAGAGTACTTGACTGTGAAAGGGCATGGTGATGTGGGAAGCAGGTGAGCAAGATTTTCTTTGCTTCGTTTTGTAATAAAGTTTTCGATGCCTCACATTCCTCGGATTCCCTTTCATGGTCCACCCTGCCAGTTGTAACCTACGGGTTGAGAAACACTTTTCTAGTATATCTTTTCCTGATCTGTGAATAAGACAATCCTTTTCCCCTCTCAGATCTCTGAGAGGAACTATAGATATTGCTCTACAAAAATTTCCAACAGGAGCATCCTTCAAAAAAAATCTAAGCTTTTCCTCTTGACACTTGTACAGTGGAGAGGGCAGTGTCACAACCTAGTTCTTTTAAGCAATAACACAGATGAGTATGTTGCTGGCATTTTCCTTGAGTAATTCAGGTAGCATGGGAAAAGAAAAATGAAACCAATCTGTTTCTAATGATTAGGTAGGAGTGGCAGGATGCCCCTAAAAGACTAGAACTACATTTAACAAGCCCTGGAGACAGCAACATTATATTGTAAAAAGGTAGTTAACCTTTTTTCCCCGACATTTAACTCACCGGGTGTTTTTCTTAGCAATAAAAGATTCTGTGGGACCTTTCATCTGAGGGGAAAAAAAGTGTTCCAGTTTAGTTGCAGTTAATAGAATTACAGTGGTGTGACTGAATATCCCTGGATTATGTGCTCTTTAAGGGCAAACAGCACAGTTGTGGTATTTTCCAAACATCTCTCATCTCATAATGAGCCAGATCCTCAGTTCTGCAAGCAGCTGCTTTATGCTGTCAGTTGTCTGTCTGGGCTGGAGGGACAGGCCTGTAATGCGCCATGCTGTGAGACTTTTCAGCACCACCTGAGCTGCATATGCAATCCTGGAGGCTATTTCTAGGAGCTGTCTGACATCGGGAAATTTGGCAAACTCAAAGGTGACTTGAAGTGCCCTTAGGCGTTCTCCCTGAGGATGCAAGTTCTGTGCTTTGCTTCTGCAAGTCACAGCACCGGGAAAACTCACCCATGTGTTCTTCCCCTCTCAATAAGTTCTGTTTGGTTGTGCTCCAGCTGAAGAGTAGATGACGTGCAGAGAGTGAAAGAGAAGTTCAGGGTTCTCGTCTTTGTACTTGTAAGGTGAAAATGCAAGTGGAACAGTAAAATAAAACACCTCACTTTATAGGACAGGATTGGCAAGCTTGTTTTCTGAAGTTTTTAAGTGATCATTCATTCACATGACACATTGATTGGGTAACCCCCAATGGAAGCAGATGTGCACTACTAGTTTTATGCAGTGTTTCCATGGTGGTGTGAATACAGTACCATTGCAATGAAAGTAGGTGAATTAAATCCAGTATGGATTTACCTGGGGCCTCAGTCTTCATTTGGATTATTTTATTTTTAACTGAGTGTGTTAATAGGTAGGAATGCGCAAATGCCCTTGCAGCTTTTGGCAGCTTTCTAGAACCATATTCCTCTGGGGTGTGTAGACTCGTAATGCCGTATTGTAGCCAGATTACTATGAAAAGTGTTTTTTACGGAACAGAAAAATGCCTCTTTTAAACTAAAAGTATAAAAAAAGAAGTGCATGTAAATGTCAACATCTGAATGAATGAGTTAAAAAATCCATTTGGGGTTAAATGGAATATCTTTTAGATAGACACTTGACTTCTGCATTATTCAGAAAATTCAGTTGTACGTGCATGTGTTGGGGGAAGATGTGAAGCTCTCCCATTAGCCTCATTTCCATACTTTGGCTGGTATAAATCAGCACAGCTTCACTAAAGTCAATAGTGCAAGGTTAATTTATACCTGCTGAGAGTATGGCTCCCTGCTTTACTATCCAGGGGCTAAAAGATGTACTTCTCTGAGGTAAAGTGAAAATGAGGATGGTCCATATATGGCCCTCTTGTTGCCCACCACAAAAATCGGTTTGGGGCAGCAGGTGAGAAGGGGAGACTGGCTAGGGATGTAAAGGATTAACGGGTTGCCCTTTTGGATGATACTTACCAGCTGATGCTTACCGGGTAACCAGTTAACCAGCAACTGGGCTGCAGCTTGCAGCATCCCCCTCTGCCTACAGAGGGCTGTGCTGAAGAAGCCCGCTGCCCACTGCAGGCTATCCAGACCCTGGTTAAATGGTTAAATGATTAAAATTATATCATTGAATCCAGTTAAAATTGTTAAGGTACATTTACATCCCTAATCCCGAGGGAATTACTCTTCTTACCAAGTGCACAGACAGCATCCATTGTTACATTCTGGGACCTGCCTCATGTTTCCTGATTTCTTCCTCCTCCCCTCCCCCACACCTTCCCTTTGGCTTTTTATAGGAGCTTAATTCTGTAGTAAGTAGCACTATGCTGCATCTCGCAGCCTGTCTTTCCTCCCTTCCCATGGGACATCTACTCTATCATCTGCAATATCCTTGATCACCCTTGGCCATGCAAATGGGGATTCCCAAGGGACATTTTGAATGGAGGCACTGCCTTGTGACTTTCCAAGGTACAAAAATTGACCGTGAAGTTAGTCTGGTTCTGTTCTTCTTGTCGAGTAATGGTCAGGTTTTTATGTGTTTTATATTGAAGATGCAGACCATGCTAGACTTTAAATCTAATGAACAACAACTGCCTCTGGCCCCATATGATTCTTTTAGCAGCCCACAAATCACTCGGACATGTGACTATCCCAGTCACAACCTTTATTGTGGCAAGACACGTCTGCACTGGTCGAGCAGAATGGTAGGAGACTCCCAAAGACATCTCTATAGGCAAGATCCTCTTGTGCCTGAAAAAGATGGCTTTAGATCAGCTTTTTTCAGGTATAGCAATGTCAAGCTGCCCTAATGCAGGAGAGGATCTGGATCTCTGGGTTTTCTATTTACCTATCTGCACATGTTCTTATGTATGATTTGTTCTATTGTAGCACATGGGGTCTTGGTCTATAATTAAGACTCCTCTAACATGCTTGTGCCTATTTCATACCCATGAATCTTAAGCAGCTTACATTACTTACTTCAACAGAGGGTTCTGCTTAAAAATTGATGGTGCTTTATGTCCCTTTGCACGATGCCTAACTCAGCAAGGTGCATGAATCTTGCCTATTGCATGGGCTCTCCCACAGCAGCAATGGGCATGAGGACAAAAGAGAACAGACATGCTCTTAGTCAAGTATGTTGCATTCTGAGAGTGATTTTTTCCTGTCTCAAGAAAATTGCCCATTTTATAGAGGAAAATGGAGTGGGGGAGGGCAAGTATGTTAGATGAATTTTGCAAGGCAGCAAAATTATTTTAACAGAAAAGAAAAATACCTTAAGAATCTCTTAAGACAGGGTGGGAAACAGGTTTTTTTTTTTGGTGGTGGACACTGACCCACAGAAAAATAAGTTGGGGGGCTTTTCACAGGTGAAAAGCAAAGTGAAAAGCCCCTAAGAAGGAAAAAGACACTCCTTACATTCCCCTCACACACCAGAGCCTGGGGGGCCCAGGCTAGTAGATTCTGTGTGCTCCAGCCCTGTGGGTGGGTGGCCGGAGAGCTGGAATGCCAGTGCAGGCTCCCCATTAAGGGGGAATTCCTGAGCCTCAAGGGCTGGATTGAAGCAAGCTGAGGGCTGCATCCGGCCTCTGGGCCAGAGGTTCCCCACCACTGTTTTAAGCTTTACTTTAATAACACTTTGCCTTCAAGAACCGCAAAATGCTTTACGTACATCAGTGAAGTAAACATTGCAGCTGCTTTCTGAGGCTGGGAAGGATTCTGATCCCCATTGCATGGACTGAGAATCCGAGGCACAAAGAGCAGCACTTTGGGGCATGGACCGTCTTTTTAAAATGATTTTGTGCAGTGCCTCTCCCCGTGGCAGGGTGGGTCCTATATTTCTACTGTAGTTCAAAAAATAAAAGGTAATAAAAGGGAAAGAATTTGCTCATGGTGTAATGGTGAATGAAGGCCGGGAAGAGGGTCATAGTCTTGTGCTCTAACTAGTAGGCAGCGCTATTCCAAAGCAGTACAATTGGATTCTTAATGAGCATTACGGTTATTTGTCTTCTGGTAGCTGCCATGGCATGCTAGGTGCTCTTTGCACCCATAGGAATACGCAGTACAGCCCCACCCAGCACTCCAATGGCTTTGTGTGTGTGTGTGTTTGTGAATGTTTTTTAAAGCTGAGATATCTGTTATAAGAGGTGGTATTTTCATATTTTCTTTTGAGTGTTCCCTGTGTTGCCAGGGACACGGCTGCTTCCTCCCCTCACCCTCTCACCCCCTCCCCGCACCCCTCTCCAGTGCATGAATGTCTGCAAATTGTAGGCAAAAGTTCAGACTCCCTTAAGAATTTCTAAATGTAAACCGTTTTTATTGTACCGGAACCTTCATGAGAAAAAGAGTCTCCTACAAAGTGAAATTCCCCTGAATTGTCACTTTAAGGGGTTGATGTGTGTGCAGAATTGGGGAAGTTAGGGTCTGAATAGCAAAGGGGGGGGAGGGTGTTGTGCTGTTAAATGAGGTGTTTGCTGCAGATCACAGATGGTGATCGATGAAAGCAGGAATATTTGTTTGAGAAAATATTGCTTAGAAGTTAAAGGAGGGATTCCCCTCCTCCCCCCCTCTGTCTGCAGAGCTGCAAAGCAGTTAATCCTTGCCCTTGGTTTCTGTGCCATTACTTACATGTCTGGTATTGAAGGTTCCCTTTACTGCAGTCACATGCCTGCTGGCAGGTGGCCAGTGGAATCTGATCTGTCTCTGAGGAAACACTATCAGTTGCAGATGCAGCCTCGGTTACCAGAATAGTAAATAACAAGTCACAAGACTCAAGCTCTCCTTTCAACAAAAACAAATATTTTAATATCTTGGTTTTAGTGTAGAAATAGTTTCTTTTTCCTTTGAAAACAACTGAACAGCTGCACAGGGCTTGTTGGTGTTAGCCTGCACTAATGCAGGACAGAAGGGTTATTATGTGGTATTACCTCTGGCTTTTTAAGGGCTGCTCTGCCTCACGGTGTGGATTCTGACACCAGTTTTAAGCTGGCCCCCCAGTTTAAAATATGTGTAATATGCATTCTGATGCTCTGGATCTCTCCCACTCTTTGAACCAGATGGAAGGATCACTGAAGAGAAGGGGCTGTGAATCAGGGCTGGTGGGAAGCTTTCTTGTGCTACTCCTGTTTTTAGCCCTAACGCATAAGTGTGGAGATTTACCCTAGAGGCATCCCCTGTGCACAGTGAAGCAGCAGCGCTATGTCTCAGACCTTCAAGCTCTGATGCCTCAGCACAAACACACTCTGCTTCCTATCACCCCAGGCCATGCTCACAGCCTGATCCCCCGCCCTGCCATGGCCACAGCACACTGTCATACTGTCCTCTGCTAGCCAGAGCTCACGCAGCACCTTGAGAAGTAGAGTATAAACCAGAGTAGCTTCAAGGCAGCAGCTTACGTCTGAGGCCAGATCTATACTAGACCCAGAAGGCTGGCTTAAGGTACACATCTCCAGCTACACACATAACATGGTGGAGTCGACATACCTTAAGCCAAGCTTGGTGCCACCTTCACAGCTTTGCGCCATGGCTCCCATCGGTGTCCATGACTCCTCACAACTCCGAGGAGTACTGATGCTGACTGGGGCTGCTCTCATCATTTGATTTAGCACAGGGCTACTCCACATGTGGCCTGCGGTGTGGTTTGGGTTTGCGCAAGGCTCAGCAAATGTCCCTCAGGTGGGATCCTTTCAACATGGCCTCCTCTGGGAACATGCTCCACAATGGCGAGGCGTCTCTCAGGCCGGGTGAGCATTGAAAGATGCAAGCAGATGGGCTGGCTTGAACAGACGGCCCCCTTTTCTAGTCCCCAGGGAAGAGGTGTCAGGAGCACCAGAACATAGTGTGAAAGAAGCTATTTGCATATATTTGCATATATATTTGCATGTATATGCATCCACACTTAAGTTGCGGCCCTTGGCATGTGCTGTGAGTATCATCATGGCCCCCGGGGCTTCCAAGTTGAGTCGCCCTGATTTAGCAGGTCTTTACCAGACTCACTAAATTGAACGCCAGAAGCTCGATCACCAGCGTGGTAAGTATAGATGTGGCTTAAGGGCCACGTAAGCTGTCTGAGAATATGGTGAGCACAAAGGTGGCTTTAAAGCTACATTTGTTCTTCTCCTTTACCTCCCATCCCACTTCTCTCCTGGCACAAGTGCAAGAAGGGAGTAACTGAGACTTGTCCTCAACAAAATCTAAAGTAAGAACTTATGAGAGATAGTTATGACGGTTGCTAAAGTGCTGAAATTTGTTTTTTAAAATGGAAATCAATAGAGCGGATCAGTTTTAAAAAGAAAAAGAAAGGCCCCATCCTCACATTGCTTTGCTGAACGTTATACCGATATGTTGAAAGTTTTGATAAGTCATTTGTGTTCAGTTTGGGCAGAGACTTTCCATCTGCACTGGAGTTCCTAGCCTTGTGTGGTTTTTTGCTTTCCGTGAAGCCCAATTGCCTAGGGACAGTTTCTGCTTTTGAATTCTTCTGTCATATGAGACTATTTCCATGGCTTGAACCACTGCTGTTTTCATCCAAAGCTTCTTCATTTTTGAGAGAACTTCACCTAAATCTTCATTGGTTCAGGTTTTTTGGCAGCTGCTTCTTGAGTGCATTCACCTTCCTGGCATGCATAACTGTCACTCTAGAAGTATCTGTTCTGAGCAGAAGATAATTTTGGGACCAATACACTGAGCTTTTGGAGACTGTCATTATAAGCAAGAGATTTGACTAGGCACGATTTACAGGGACTGAGACTTGCATGTCTTGTTAGATGAAAGATACTTATCACAGCATTCTTCTAAAAAATAAAAGAAATTAGTTGGGGAAAACCAGTGGAAGCGATAGGTATTTCCTTTGACTTCTTCAAAGTTGCTGACATCACTGGTTGGTTTAATTGTTTGTTTAATGGTGCTGAACTTAAAACAAAACTCATTAGGATGGAGAAGGAAAGCTGGGGAATTGTTGGAGAGATTTTAATGGGATTCTTTAGCAAACAGCCAGAGTTCTAATTGGTCTATTTATGGTCCTCTGTGAAACTGAAAAGGTATGGACAGGTGCAGTAACCCTAATTTACATTCGAAGAATTAACTGATCTGTCTTTCTGCACATGCATTCCCCTATGCATTTGGTGGAAATATTTGTGAATTTTCAAACTAAGTGGCCAATTAAAACACAAGTTGTGTATCCATAAAGTGCCATATTCACCAAATAAATCAGACTAGGGAAGGATTGATGTGGCTTGAATATCACATATAAAGAGCAGGACATATATGAAACAAAAGAAAGAATGCTAAACCAATTAATTGTGGAACCCTTCATTTCCTTTGCATTCTAAACGGAAGCTATTGAATCAATGAGCATTATTGTGTTGGAGATCATTTCAGTTTGAGAAGGTGTTTCTAGTGTTTAGGTCACAAAGATGGAAAGGTGAATTTGGTGTATTAAGTGAAAGGTTCTTAGTTTCTGTGGAGTTTGCCTAATAACTGATTAAAAAATTAAGTTTGATATAAATAGCAACTGGAATTAAATATTGAAATACATTCTTTACCCATATGACCTTTCCTTCTTGAATTTATTTTAGAACAACTATTTGCAATCTCTATACCATGCCACGTATTGGTGAACCTGTCTGGCTTACCATGATGTCGGGGACTCCAGAAAAGAATCAGTTGTGCTATCGTTTCATGAAGGAGTTCACTTTCTTAATGGAAAATGCCTCAAAAAATCAGTAAGTTGTTTAGTTTAGGGTTTTTTGGGGGAGGAGGAGGGTCAGTGATGTCAGAGTTTAACATTGACAAAAACAGATGAAAGAACTAGCCGGAGCTATGGGTACGTCTGTGCTGCAAAAGCAGACTTGCTGGGCTTATAGGAGTTTACAAGGAGTGAAGGAAGTCTGAGGAAGAGTGCTCATCCTCGGACTTCCTGCTGTGTAGACAGCGACAAAAGCCAAAATAAGCTATTTCAACCTAAGCTACACAATTGATGTAGCTCAAGCTGTTTAGCTTATGTCAGCTTTAGCCCTGCTATGCAGACATGCCCTAATAAATTCATTATTTTGTCTTCTCTTCATCCTCTTACTCCAAGGCATAAATATGAGAGATTAAAAAATGTTTGGCTGCACTGACATCCTAAAACAAGCACAAATATGTGAAGACTGAGTGAAAATAGACCTCAAAGAAATGGAAGCAGAAGAGCTAGCTGCTGGCCAATGTTGCTCACATGTCCTCAAGGGAAAACATGACTCTGTTGTACCTCAGAGCCTTTTACTTTTGCCCCAAAGTGTTAATTTTGCAATCCTTCTTCCCCTACAGGAAGGTTACAATTAGCATGGGACATGATCCATCTCCTTTCAGTAAGGGATTTCTTGCAGCAGTATGAGTGCCATCAGACTTTGGGGGGGGATGTGGAAAGCCTTGGTGATTTGTAGAGGGAGCTGAAATGTTTTTCCCAAAATAAGTTCCAAGAGAGGTGGAAGAATGTGGCCAAGCTTAACCGCTTCGGCCTCCAGTCAATCTACACTGTACACACTTAGGTTTTGTCTACATTTAAAAGTTTAAAGCGCAGCCACAGCAACTGAAAAATCTCTCCCAGCACACTATGTAAACCACTTCCATGAGGGGAGTAGCTAACTGCTCCAGGAGCCTGGTTCACACTGGCACTTTAAGCACTGACACACCCCTGAGCCAGATAGTTACAGCTCTGTAAAGTACCGATGTAGACTTAACCTCAAATATATTTTCTGATGTGGTTCTGTTTGGTTTTGTTTTAAACAGACCAGCATTGCTCCAGTGAGGGTATTAGGAGCATCAAATTCTGTGGGTCTAGTTCTCCACTCTGTCACACCAGCTTTACACTGCTGTAACTCAGTTATTTTCAGTAGAAAAGCTCCTAGTATACATTGGTGTGGGAGGAGAATCAAACCCAACACCTTAGGTTTCTAGTTTAGTTCCAAATCTTCATTCATTTATTCCATGTACTCTCTCTAGCCAGCAGTCGAGAACCAGAGGACTAAAGTTTTTAAGATCTACAAAACTGTATTTAAATAGACATTGTTCTACTCATGCCCAGAGGGTGTCTGCTGGGTTTTTTGTTTCTGCAGGGGAACCTGAAATTGTAGTTAGGCCAACCAGCACCACCTGTTGGTCTGAAGAGGAATCCTGGGTTGCCAAATCCTTGGTCAACTCTGCAAATATCCTTAGGGGGGACTGGAGTTATTTACCCTTTCTCCAGCTCACTGGTCTCCTGCTACTCCTTTGGTTAGCATTGCAGGGGGCGGGGGGGGGAAGGTGTGGAAAAATAATGTCCAAACAAAAATGCAGTTAAAACTCAGAAGCACTCTGGGGTGCTACTTCCCCTTTAAGATTTGCCAGTACTTGACTGCCTAAGGCTGACTGCAAGAACATGATGGCATTTTGCAGGTCAGAACCTCCCCGGATCCAGTCATATTTGTGTCTTTTCCCACATACGCTTTCTCTCTCCCAGCAAATGGGACTTTTTAAAATGTAAAATGTCCTCTCAGTGTACAGTTCTCAGCATAAGAAATTACTTTCAGTTCACAGTGAGGACCTGTACAGAATATTGCCTACAGAAAATAATTTCAACAAAAGTAACTTACCTTTTCATAATGCTATCATAGACCAAGGGGTTCTGCTCCACTGACCTCAATTTAACCTTACTGAGAAACTAGAAATATTTGGGAAAAGGGATGGAGATAGAGTCTGTAACTCACTAACATTTGAACTTTCCCATCTGATTTCATTAGCTATTGATGTATTGTTGTTGTTTATTTAAAGTGCCATAAGCATACAAAGCACTTCAAACATTTGCAAGACACAAGATCTCTTTCTATCCTGAACAACTCACATATCTCTAATATCTCTGCAGAACAAAGGCCTATGGAAAATACAATCTTATTGCCACAGAAATGGACAAAACCAAAGAAAATGATTAGAAGGGAAGCATGTAATTTTGCCTTTCCATATTTAGATGCAACAAGTTGTCATCTTTATGACTTTTAAAACATTTTAATTTAGTGTTTATGTAGAATGCAAATGTAAAATTTGGTTATAGTATAAAGCATGTTGCTCTGTACCATGCATTGATGGAGAGAAAGTATGATACGTTCAGATTGGCGATAATAAAAAAACATATTTCAAATGAAGAATTATTTTGAGCTTGTCTTTCAAAAAGATTATTTAAAGTCTTTCCAGCAATTGTTACTCCATTTATATTTGAATGTGAAGTTGGTATCCATTCAATGTCAATAATTGTTATATTAGTAAATCAAATCATGTTGTTCAGGTTTTTCTAAAAGCTGTTTCACTCAATTTCTTAACTTGGCAAATGAAAACTATTTTGCCTGTTAGAAATGCACCTTTCCTGGATGATTATCACAGAGTAATGTGTTGATGCCACGGAACTCGGAGCATATTTTAAAATCAAGTAACCATATCATTTTTAAATTGCATTATTGTTAAGCACAAAGCACAATATCTATCTGTATTCAAGGTTTGGTAGCAAGTATAAAGGATCCTTCTTTCCTGAGATGTTCTTTTTCATAGATGCACACATTTTAAAACCAAAAAGGATAATTTCTTTAGATCTTATTGTCATCTAATTTCTTATATAACACATGCCATAGAATTTCATCTAACTTACAGCTGTAATGAAGCCCAGTAACTTGTGTTTTGAGAAGATGTTTTTTCATACTTAAGAACTACTAGGTTGTAGAAGATTTACTAAAATAGAATGTTAAAGTAATGAAAATCCACCCTTTTCTTTAGGCTACGTCTAGACTGCTTTCTTCTGCCAAAAGAAGATATGCAAATTCAGAGCTAATTTGCATATCTTCTTCTGAGCATGTTATGTTAAGCGGTTTTGTCGAAAAAGAAAGCAGTTTAGACGTGGTTCTTTCAGGGGGGGGAAAAGCCTTTTTCAAAAGAACCTGTCTTCCTAAAAAAATGAGGTGTGCAGGGTTCTTTCAAAAAAGGGTTTGTTACTGCTGTCTTTTTCGACAAAACCTCTTCTGATAACATGAGTGGAAGAAATATGCAAATTAGCTCTGAATTTGGATATCTTCTTTTGGCAGAAAAAAGAAGTCTAGACATAGCCTTAGATAAAAATTCTATTATGTTTAGTGTTCTCTAATAATAAACTTTACTTACTATTAGTTTTATTGGCAGTATGGTACTCTGTGTATAATTAGTAAACATATTCCCCAGACCTTTTGGTTTCACATATTTTAGCACACTCTATGGCTACAGTAAACAGCTTGCTATGCATTCAATCACTGGTGAATAGAAGTCTTACAATATTGCTAAACAGAAGAATCAAGATGTCCATAATATGGAAATGTTTTATGGTTTTAATTTTTATACCTTTCAAGAAATGCTTCTCATCTTGGGACAGTACATTTTCTTTCTCCAGTCTGTTGCATAAAGAAATCAAAGCAGGCTGAGCGGCCTTTACAGTCTCTGTGTTCTTCTTAGGAACATTCTTGCTTTTTGTTGTTGGTGGAATTGCTGTTGCTCTAATGCAATGAATGCCGGATTGGAAAAAGTGACACCGAGTGTTTCATTTTCAGATTTTTACCAGCCCTTCTGACTGCAATTCTGACTAACCACCTGGCCTGGGTCCCAACAGTCATGCCAAATGGACAGCCTCCTATAAAAATCTTCCTGGAAAAGCATTCCTCCCAGAGTGTGGACATGTTGGCCAAGACCCATCCATACAACCCACTGTGGGCACAATTAGGTATGTCTTAAACCTCACCAAACTGTCCGTTGGCGCACCACATAAACATGTGCGAGTGTTGTGACTTCTCCTGACCAGCCCACTCACACGTTACAAGTAAAAAATCTGGGCCCTCTAACCAAGATACAGCTTTATAGATCAAGCTTACAGAGTGACACTGTGTTTACTATGTACTTTGTCATCATTTTTTAAGCACCATCAGTAATAAAGCCACAGCAGAAGAGTACAAAATCCCTTTTAAGTTTTTCAGGACAGGTCTTACAGACGATTTTGTTCCCCTTATGGGTCTTTATAGGGAAACTGAATTTTCTAGCTGCTGTGATGCTAACTTGACAAGGCAAGTTGTGGGGAGGAACATCTGTGTGGTCAGTTAGAGAGACCATGAATGGTAAGGCTCCATGGATGATTAATGCACAAAACCCATAGGTAATACTCTGGCTGAGAAAGGAAAGGCTTCAATGGATCAGACCCGACGCATGGTGATTCAGGTCACCCTCTCATGGCTGGTCAATAGAGATGAGAATTTCAGACTCCCACTGTGCGGTCACATTGCCCTCTCCGGCAGCAAGCCCCATGGAGGGGGTTGCTCAAAGGGAAAGAAACCTGTTGAGTTCCCTTCATAGAATTTCTCCCACATTGGCGCAGGTCATGGTGACCTGTGAGGTGGGCGAGAGGATCACATACTGGAACTTGTGGAACTCAAAGAGTCCGATAGCAGGCAGAGCCGGTATTAGGGAGGCGTTGTACCTCCTCTATGCCCTCTGGCTCCCTGTGAGACTTCACCACCACCTCACACCCCTATAACAGCCAAGCACCCAAACAGAGAAACCAGAGCAGCTCTGAAAGTGCAGGGGATGGGTAAAACTCTATTACCTCCCCCTGAAGATGGCAAAGAGGGAAGAGAAGAAGGTAAGGGAGAGCTGCAGCTGTGTAGCGTGTCTCCCCAGCACTGACACATTGTTGGCACAGATTTACTTTCCCTCTCCCCTGCAGCTGAGAGAAGGTTTCTTCGCATCTTCTTAGGATGTGACTCTTTACAGGAGTATCAGAAGCGATCACTTCCTTTCAGGCAGGGGCGGCTGACCCAGGTGCTCCTGCACCTGTCTCCACCCACTGCCTTGGGTGTACTGCCTAAGCCAGGGGAAAGGAGAGGATAGGTCAGGGGTCCCTTTGCCTCCAAAATGACCATAAAGATCAAATAAACCATCCCTGGCCATTTCCTCTCCTTGATCCTCATTTCAGAACAGGTGACAGCCCTGAGCAGAGCTGCACTGGAGACACCCTCAGAGTGATTTAGTGCTCATGAAAGACGTGTGATAGAAAGCCCTGTGGCAACCAAAACTTTCTGTGTCAGGCACAGCACAGGCTGTGGCAGCACAAGTGCCCCAGTGCCGCCCTCCCCGTGATCCCAAACGCTGATCCGGGAGAGGAAAAGTTTACGTGTAAAAAGTTTGGCTCCGTTTCCATGATCATTGAATTTTTGGCGTCTCTGCTGAGCTTGCCTGTTGGCTTTTGTGTTTATAAACACCTGCTCACCAGAAACTGAAGAGAGACCCCTCTCATCACCAATGAAGTGACAGGAGAGGATAAATTTCAGTGACTGTCAATCTGGGGCAGAGTTGAACTGGTTATGTTGAGGTAAAAGGTTCCATTGTTTTTGGACTGTAATGAGACAGATGTAGCAACCCCTTTCTGGTGTATAATTGCTGTTAAGGCTGTTGTCTATAGAATCATAGGACTGGAAGGGAACTCGAGAGGTCATCGAGTCCAGCCCCCTGCCTTCATGGCAGGACCAAATACTGTCTAGACCATCCCTGATATACATTTATGTAACCTACTCTTAAATATCTCCAGAGATGGAGATTCCACAGCCTCTGTGAAGGAGGAGGATGTGTCAGGAGTGGGATATGAACCCACGTCTCCACTTGGAGACCAGAATACCCAATTGAGGAAAAGGCAATCACTTGAGTCTGGCGCTTTAGACCACTTGGCCATCCTGACATCCATAAGATCCATGTCAGGATCTCTCTAAAAATAATTACACTTGAAAAGAAAACATGCGTCTTTCCTCTGAACTCAAGCCTTGGAGCCTACATAAGGCAGCTCAGATGTTCCTCTGGTCTGTGCATCATCCTCGTATGAGTCAAACTTGGTTGAACTTGATTTGTTTGTAATTTTGGCAATAAATATCCATTTTTATTTTTAGCATGTTTTAAACTATTTTAACTTTCATAGTTGTGGGAAATTAAGGGAGGGTCTTGTTCGGGGGAAGGGCAGCACTGACAGTGCAGCCGCACGGGGTTCCCAGAACAGACATCTGGGCAGCAGGGGACTCCCTATGCAGCAGAGGGGACTAGGGCACCTGGGCACAACCTCTGAGGAAGGCGGTCATAGTGCAGTGGAGAAGAGATCTGTGATCAGGGCCCCGGGAGAAGGACTCCCCCCGCCAGCGGGAGGGGCCATGACAGCCGGGCCAATGACACTAGATCCTTGTTAGCGTTAGGTGTGGGGGAGGCTGTGCTCGCCAACTGTTACTGATTTAATTTCACCAATTTCTGTCATGTGAAATCAGCATCTATTGATGACTAGCTATTTAAAGCCAATCCTGTCGAGCTTAAATGCAGAAACAATAAGGAGTCCTGTGGCACCTTAAAGACTAACAATTGTATTTGAGCATCAGCTTTCATGGGCTGGAGCCCACTTTGTCAGATGCATCCATGAAAGCTAAGATGGCTAAATTAGTTAGTCTTAAGGTACCACCAGATGCCTCATTGTTTTGGCTAAAACAGACTAACATGGTTACCCCTCAGAGACTCCCACGCTGATTTAGGTGACATCAACACTAGAAGCTTTTGCAAGTGTAAGAACATTAGTTAGAAGTATGGATTTGGTTTTGTTGGGCAACATTTCTATACAACTAAAGCACTAGGTTAGACACAGTTGTACCAGCAAAAACACTTTTTTGCCAGTATAATCTGTATCTGCACTAGGGAAGTTTGCTAGCGCAGATTTACCCACAAATCTCATCTATTGTTGACCTGGCCTTAGAAAACCAGCAACTGTATAATAATAGCATGATTATATTAAAGCTGAAAAATATTTATGCTTTGTTTTCTGTTGCAGGAGACTTGTATGGGGCAATTGGCTCACCTGTGAGATTAGCAAAAACGGTGGTGGTTGGTAAAAGACAAGATTTAGTTCAGAGATTGCTTTATTTCCTCACTTACTTCATAAGATGCTCTGAACTACAAGAGACTCATCTGCTAGAAAACGGGGAAGATGAAGCCATAGTAATGCCTGGAACAGTTATTACTACCACGCTGGAGAAAGGAGAGGTAGAGGAATCTGAATATGTGCTCATTACAATCCACAGGAACAGAAGCAATTTGCTCACTAGAGAGTCTGAAGAAATGAGAACTCCTAGCTGTAGCTGCAAATATTGCAAGTGCCCACTTGTTCTTGGGCAAAATACAGAGGGCGTTTCGCAACAAGAGAGAGAATGTGCCCCAAATGCCTCTAAGGAGGAGCTGGAGACTTCTCCAGATAAGAGCAGAACAACTTCTGCTCCTGACTGCCAAGAAAATGCTGCTGACATTAAGCAGTGCAAGGATAAATTGACACCTTGTCTGGATGCCAAATTGGAGACCATAATCTGCACAGGGTCATCTTCAGTGGACAAATGTGCAATAGCAGAGTCGGGATTAGAGCCAGCAGCAGGAACATGGAGGACTGAGGAGTCACTGGAATCTGGTAACCAGCCCATCAGAGTAACAAGATCAACAGGTATAGCTGTGGAAAAGAAGCCTCCAGATAAACTCTTATCTGATGCGTTTCCTTGTGGTACCACTGAGGCTCAGACAAAGGTGACTTTCCTGATTGGAGATTCCATGTCTCCTGATTCAGACATTGAACTTAGAAGTCAAGCCGTAGTGGAACAAATTGCTAGGCATCACAACCAAGCAGCAAGGGAGGAAGGAGTGAGTGCTGATCACAACTGTGAAGCAAAACAAACGGTTGAGGACCAAAATAGAAACTGTGGGACAGCTGAACCGTTTCCTCAAGTCATCAGCGAACGTCCGAATTGGAACCCGCATCCTTACAATGCAGAGAGCATGAGTCTGTTTGATGAGTATTTTACGGATGATGGTTCAATTGAAACCAGGACTATTGATGATATTCCAGTGCAAGCCCCGATAGAGGTCCTAGATGATGGTGGTAGTTTAGAATTTTCCAAAAAATTAGGTACCAAGAGCAACAAACTACCCAGTGAATTTTGTAAGTTTATGGAATCTGTTCGCCAGGAGACATGCAAAAACTGCTTTGCTGAGCAGGACCAAAGAGGCAAAATCTCTATTTGTGTCCCCCATGGGGATAAAGAGAACTCAGAGAAAAAAGTTGCCCCAGGATCTGATTGGGACATTCCAAGAAATGAGAGCTCAGATAGTGCCCTGGGTGACAGTGAAAGTGAAGACACAGGTCATGATTTAACTAGACAGAACAGTAACTACTACGTAGGCGAGCATGAGGACTGGGCAGAAGAAGAGGAGATCCCCTTCCCTGGGTAAGTAATTTCAACAATAACAGGCGTACTGACAAATATAATCTCTTATCCACGTGCATGGCTTGCAACAATGATTGGAAAGATTCTCTTGGGCTTGGTGGTTGTAAAATGAATGTTAAAAGATTCATGATCTGCATATTAACAATATTAATTATGAATTGCAACTCTGGCTCATAATCTTGTTCCTCTACAGTATTTTATGCTCAGGGCTGAATATTGTAAACTGTCTTTGAAGTGTAAAGTTTCTTTTTAAAATATGGTTGTAAGCTGATCACATTAAGAGGAGAGATGGTTGGAACTAAAATGTCACACTTGCTCAAGCTGAAATGAGTAGATATCAGTGTTAGTTTTAGTACATGTCCATGATATACCTTTCTTGCAGGTCAAAATTAGTTGAAGTGACCTCTATCCAGCCCAGTATTGCCAATTTTGGAAGGTCCTTGCTAGGTGGCTACTGTTCATCTTACGTACCTGACTTTGTTTTGCAAGGAGTAGGAAATGATGAAAAACTGAGACACTGTTTGGTGTCGGATTTGTCGCATGCTGTGCAGGTAATTAAACCCTATGCAATTAAATGTATCTTTCTCAATAAAAAGAGGCAAATATTTCTGAACTGGCAATCTGCTGGAACTGGAAATATTTATTGTCACAGCTCCATTCGAGTGCCCCCAGTCCCATTTTACTAGTTCATTCTCAATGCTCTGATCTATCTGTTGGTACTCCTGAGTAATATGATTATCTGCTCCTGAGTAATAGTTATCTGCTCCAGATTTTCACTGTGAGATCATATGAAGCCAGTGAAGAAGGATCATGCCTTAAGAGAAAAGAGACATCCATGTTAAAGGGCACAGAAATCATGAAGTCTCTCTTCTTTTAGGTGCAGCAACCACGAATAGAGTGGTTATAGAGTCCGAACTGACATAGAGCCTTTCCCATTCCTGTCTCCCCAACTAACTGCTGGTGTCTTGAGTTTCTGCAGAGCAGAACTTATAGTGGGGAAATTAATATTTAGCACTGGGATCTCTCAGTACTGTTATTTTTTCCTTAGGGCAGGCCTACACTATGGGGTAAAGGCAGCCTAACTTACGCAGTTCCAGCTATGTGAATAACGTAGCTGGGGTCGAAGTGCCTTAGGTCAACTTTATGTGGTGTCTGCACTGTGCTGGACTGATGGGAAAACTCTCCCATCTACTTACCTGTAGCTTCTCATTCCAGTGTATCACTGGAGTCAATGGGAACACGTTCAGCGGTTGATTTAGCGGATCTTCACCAGACCCTCTAAATTGATCTCTGCCCCCCCCCCCATGGATGAAGGGGATGAGATAATGGCTCAAGGGTGCAGGCTTAGTGGGGGGAAAAGAGAGACACCCTTTTTCCCCCATACACACTCAAGACACATGTGGAGCAGGATTCTCTGCACTCCAATCTACCTTTCTTTCTGTTCTTTCTCTAGAATGGGCACTCTGTGGAAGTGTTTCTTCCCCAATAATTCCTATCCACGTGATTCAGGGTCTATACTGGGGGGAGGCTGGAGATGGGGCAGGTTGGAGGGAGGAATGAATGGGGTCATTTCCTCCTCCCTCTGGCTCTGTGAAAATTAAGGGAAAAGACGTTCCAGGCAAAGACTGCCAGTTGCCATTGAAGGACATGATCTTGTTTCTCTATGCAAATAGTTTATTTCAGTGGGAGTGGGATGAGACCCTAGTGAAGATAAAATACGACTTTTTCTGAGAAAAGTTAATAGGCCTTCTGCCACGATTCCCTTCTGCCACAAAGCCCAGGTATAGTTAGCACCATTTTATATGCAGCAGTTTGGCTACCCATATCTGTGGCAATTTCCCATAGTTTTCTTCCCCTTCCCTGCACATATCCCTATCAAGTTCATGTCACCCACTGAGCTGACCTACACACCTGGGTAGATTTCACCCAGGCTATATCTAGACTGCAAGCCTCTTTCAAAAGAGGCTCTTTCGAAAGATACTTTCGAAAGAACCTCTTTCGAAAGAGAGCGTCTAGACTGAACGTGGAACTTTCGAAAGAGCAAGCCGCTTTTTCGAAAGAAAGCACCCAGTGAGTCTGGATGCTCTCTTTCGAAGAAGCCCTATTTACATTCAAGAACGCCTTCTTTCGAAAGAAGCACTTTCGAAAGAAGGTGTTCTTCCTCGTGAAATGAGGTTTACCGCCGTCGAAAGAAAAGCCACATTCTTTCGATTTAATTTCGAAAGAACGCGGCTGCAGTCTAGACGCAGGGGAAGTTTTTTCGGAAAAAGGCTACTTTTCCCGAAAAAACCCCTGAGTCTGGACACAGCCCCATTTATAAATAAAGCACAGCTGAACTTTGAGAAACCAGTCCAGTATCTCAAAGTGTCTACAAGTATGAAACAAATGCTTCATTCTTACATTCTACAAAAGAGAGATTTTTTTCCCCCCTGACAAACAGCCACTGAATCAAGAATATCAAAAACTGCCAGGGCAAGATTAGGCAAGATTTTACGCACTGACTTTCAAATAAAACCATGGACCATGTTGATGGTACTCTGAGAAAAGGGATGCTTTTTCAAGCAATTAAGCCACACGTTTGTATGAAAGTTGGTATGAAAAGGGCCAACAAAGTTCTAAATATCCCCTTTTTTAAAAATCTGTTGGAAAGAAATATTTTATAAAGACACCAGTTGAAGGCACTAGAAAAGTCATTGTGCACTTTGTTGTTTACTCCCTCTGCTGGTTTTGCAGCAACACTTAACAAACCTTACTCCCAGAGCTGATGCTGACATAAAGAAAAACTGATTAGTAACAGGAGTGAAATTGACCAGACTATTTAAAGTGTCCAAACCCAGTGAAATACAAAAAACAAATAACCACAGCATACATGGTGAAAAGGAAATTTGATTTGGGACGCTTTTAGTTTTAATAACCTAACGTACTATTATTAATGGTTAAAGCTATTCAGGCTTGTTTTTTCTAAAGTATGATTTTAACCTACGTCCATTTAACTTCAGCTCCATTCAAACAGGATACATCAATATTTATTGAATGTCAAAGGGGAAAATTTGTAGGCACTGAAACATATTCATGCTTGGAAGAAGATATTCGATGCATTAGAGGATAATAAAAAGAAAACTACTTTGGAAAATGTAGGATTTTATCCTTTTAAGACTGAGGTAGTTTTTCTATTATAAAGACACATTTTTAAGGAATTGCAGTATATGTAAAAACACCGTCACTATTCGGGAAGAGATTTTTGGAAAAATTGAGTTGTCTTTTGTTATTTTCAGACTCAAAATATTTATTCTGTCTTTCCTTTTTCTTTTTTCTTTTTTTTTAAGCATCCTGTTTTGGATGAACCAATTGCAGAGGCTGTTTGCATTATCGCAGACATGGATAAATGGACAGTGCAAGTGGCCAGTAGCCAAAGGCGAACTATTGATAATAAACTAGGAAAAGAGGTTTTAGTCTCTAGCCTTGTCTCCAACCTGCTTCATTCCACTCTTCAGCTTTATAAGCATAATTTATCTCCAAATTTTGTAAGTATGGGTGAAGATCTAGCTACAGGGCTAAATGTGTTCTGAGAATATCATTTTAATTAATGTGTTAAAGAAGATGCTGTAAGTTGGTATTTTGCATGCTTCCACATAGCCACAATAGATTATATTGTGCATTGTCTAACTTACATTTGTGCCCACTTGGGACATTCAGTTAAATTTTGTTTTGTAATCAAAATAGCTCTCTTTGGTCCTGATTGGATTGTAACACACTATTCCACTAAAATAGACGAGTCTTGCTAGAGTAAGACCGGGAGATCTGCCCTCTAAGTAAAAAATACTTTTCAAAATAGAAATCTAAACAAAAGTTGGCATTGTCATTCTAGCTGCATGTCTTCCCGTGCTGTTGCCAGGTGCTTTCAAATAAATATTTACCTTGTCATGGCTAACCAAAGAAAATGGCATTGTGGGAACTGAGCTGTTCCTCTTTGGAATTTGGCTGCAGAAGACAGTGGTTCCCAACCTTTTTTATGCCAGCAAACCCATTCACAAACTTTTGGCAGACTGGTATCATTTTTGTTTTCATATTTGCAAATAATGAATTTGCAGATATGCAAATCAAAGTGTTGCCTGACTGCCTAGCCCCAACCTAGCCCCTTGCTCCCCAGTGCCTAACACCCTTTGAACCCCACCCTAGTCCCTGCCCTTTGACCTTTTAACCTCTGACCCCTATAGCCCATGTCAACACCGTCTTGCCCTGTAACCCCACTACACCCTCATCCAACACCCCTTTGCCCCCACCCCACTCCCGCACTCCCCAGAGCGAGGCTGCCCCCTGAGTGAGCTTGCTTGTTACTGCCATGTGGGCAGGGGGAGTAGCCATTGGCAAAGTGTGCACTCCCTTCTTCCCCAAGTGTGTCTTGTGGCCCCATGGGTGGGGAGAACGCTTAGACCCAGCCGGGCCGCTATTATCGAGGGGGAATGAGGGAGGGAGATGCCTCCTGATCCACCTCCTCTTGCCTCCGCTTCAGCCCCAGTGTCACCACTGGTGAGAGCAGTCATGCAAGGAGGGGGAGCGGCTGTTGGCAGCATGCACTCCCTACTCCTTCGCGCCCTCTCCCTCCCCAAGCACAGAGGAGGAAGGGAGGGACCTCCTGCTCCACCTCCTCCTGCCACGCCTCAGCCACCATGGCTGCCAGAGCTGAGCTGCTGCGAAGAGCTGGCTTGAGCTCTAGCAGCTGCTGTAGCCCGGCAGCCAGCAGGTCATGGACCAGCCACGGTCTGCGGACCGGTGCTTGGGAACCACTACAGTAGAAGACTGCAAGGTGTTTTGTTTCTGATGTGATTGTTTTCATCTTCTTCTAGTGTGTTATGCACCTGGAAGATCGGCTGCAAGAGCTGTATTTCAAAAGCAAGATGCTGTCTGAATACCTCAAGGGCCAGATGCGAGTTCATGTCAAGGAGCTGGGCATAGTGTTGGGGTATGATCACAATGTTATTGAATAAAGTTTCCATATGTGTTTCCTCCACCCAAATCCTCTCCACACCTAGCAGGGTTGTCACGGGTAGTGGCATGGCCTCAGGGTCTGCACTAGTGGATCCTCATACAGGATCAGCACCAACATGCCCTCTAATCTTTTCCATCCATGTGCAGAATAAATTTTTTCATGTGCACTAAGACACATGCACATGTGTATCCTTTAGTTTGACATGAATTTCCCAGATCTGGGGCTGTGTCCATATCCTCTTAAGATCTCTCTCCATCCTCCATCTCCTGCCCCACTGGACTCACCACTCCACAGTTCATCAGAACCATTCTTTAGGCGGCCACTCCTTGTTTAACAACACAAGATACCTGATTCCTCCAAGGTGACGTTCCCCACATGGCAGAGGGCCCAGAGGAGACCCACCGTAAGCCACATAGCACCCCTCAGTGGGAATGGGGCACAAGCAGAAAGGCCATTTCAGAAATCCTGGGAAGGCAGTCACCTCACCAGCACTGGGGGGGGGTGGAGAGTGAGGAAGGGTGGGTGGGTGTTTAACAACACAAGATACCTGATTCCTCCAAGGTGACGTTCCCCACATGGCAGAGGGCCCAGAGGAGACCCACCGTAAGCCACATAGCACCCCTCAGTGGGAATGGGGCACAAGCAGAAAGGCCATTTCAGAAATCCTGGGAAGGCAGTCACCTCACCAGCACTGGGGGGGGGTGGAGAGTGAGGAAGGGTGGGTGGGTGGGTGGCAGGGGGAGTGACAGCAGATGCGGGAGTGACAGCAGCTGCTGGCCACTCTGCATGTGGGGGGTGGGGGAGAAGCAGTAGCCAACAGCCCCACATGCTGAAACGGTCCCCCCGGTATCTCACTTAATCAGCTAACCAGTTAATTGATTAGCCAGGGTTTTCCATCCCTAGAATGAATTCCACTCCCTCCTTTGCTCCCAACTTGTACTGCGTTGCCCACATGACGCTCCTTTACTCAGGCTGTCTGTGCCCAGTGGGTAGAATGAATTCCCCCAGACAGTGTATTCCGTTGCCAGAGCTGCTAGTTCAGTGATGGAGAGAGCAGACAGGAATGGATCCCCAGTCTCCTGCATGACAATGAAGTTCTGTCAGTGACTCACCAGGCGGATCAGGAATACATTTTGCTGTCTGTTCAAAAAAGAATTGATTGTTCAGAATCACAGAAATGGTGTTGCCTTTACTTCAGAAATGCAACCGTTTGAATTTTACATTAAGAATGACTTGAAGTTGAAAGCTTTATCAATTAAAATATACTGCTCTTCTTGAATAGTCCAAGTGCAACGATCTTAGCGTGGCATGGATAATATAGCAGTTGATGCACACATACCGCACAGCTACATTTTGGGTTAAATGTAGTGTTTCTCCCTTTTTCCTTTTAGGATTGAATCCAGTGACCTCCCTTTACTGGCGGCTGTAGCAAGCACTCACTCTCCTTATGTTGCCCAGATATTACTTTAAAATGCTGAAGGGCATAGAGATTAAATTTTTTTCCTGGCAATGAAATGGAAGACAAGGAGACAGACATGAAACACGCTTGTCCCGGTTCCTTTTCGCTGGAGGCAGCTGAACTGCACAGCTTGCTGAGCTGACTGGGTCTCCGTCACTGACTGCATATAATACAAACAATTGGAGAGCTCTTTTATTTTTTTCTCTCTCTCATTTGGCCATTCATAAAAAAAGAATTTAAACGCCAATGGTAATTGAAAAGCCTAAAGTTTGAGGCTGCTGAAGAAAATCCAAGATTTTGGAAAAAGCGGAAGGATTGCAAATGTGTTTGGCCATTTCTGCAAGGAGGCTAATTATGTACAATGAAAACCAGGGAATGCAAGGAAGAACTGCTTTGTAATACTGTACAGTGCTTTTGCTGATTTTGTAAATTTTAACAGGAGAAGGAAGCAACTTTCTTGGGACTGGCTTATACCTATTAGGAGTGTGTTAAGATCTTAACTCTCAAACTGCAGTGATTTGTAACAACTTCTACTTTTTCACTAAATAGTCAAATTGTGGATATTTCTCAAAGGACAAAGGATTTTTGTAAACAGCTTACTAATGACACACAGCTAAAAAATGTATTTATAATCTTTTTCCAAGGGAGTGGGATGGAGGGAGGTGGAGCCAGCAAACAAATCGGCAAACGTGACTGTGTTTCCCTTTCTTGGGTTGGTATTGTAACAGGTATTCAGTTGTTACAATGTTTAAATGTCTCTTTATAGTAAATGATACTTTTGTTTTATGACTTGCAAAAATAGAAGAAATGCAATTTTGAAACAAAGGCTAAAGAGAGAATGTTGATTTACATTTCCCTATAATATCCCAAAAATGCCATGCTAATACCTCTAATATTTTTACAGACTATAATATTCTGGCAGTACATTGTTTTTCAGTCAGTGAGTGATCTAGAAATTACTTGTACCAAAGCACTAGGGGAGAAAAAAAGACAACCTTAATTGCTCAGGTAACTAATTGCTATATTTTAAAAAAAATTAGCTCCACAAACGTGGATGCGTAATTATGCCCTTGCATAGAAATATCAAATTTATTTTTAGACAAAATATTCCCTTGATGCAAATTGCTGTAATCCCTTTTCTACTGTTTTGTGTAGCTACCAGCAGGAAATGCTGTTTATTCCATTCTCAGAATTATTCACTCATCATTGTTTTGCCATCATGTATACAGTAGTGGTAAAAATAGCTGATGTGGAACCAATCTGCTGTAAGTAATGTAAATGTACAGTAGGTAGGTGATTATGATTCAGAAGGCTCTACTACCTCAGTTTAACTGGACACCGCATTATATGCTTCTCTTTGCTTACTTGTCTTAGTGGCCAATTCATGTAGCTAATTATAGTTGTTTTCATTGATCATTTTCAGAATATTGAAGTTCAGACTATCCATAATAATAATGAAAGATACTCGTTCACTAAATTATATTTACCTTTCTACAGTATCACATTATTGAAAAGAGGCTTACAGAAAGAATGAAGCATGCTTTTTGTTGTGGCTTGTAGACATTTTAAAAACAGATTTCCCCAGTCTATCAAACTTGAAAATAGTGGGTGAAAGTCCAGCCCTACTGACATAAATAGCAAAACTTTCACTGGCTTCAGGGGGGTCAGGATTTCATCCAGTGTGTTTTGGTGGTAATATTAAAAATAATAACTCCATTGCCACAAGAATCCGTATGAACAGACTTGCACCTGCATCAGCATCTTTGTAGGATTGAAGTCTAATTAGGTAAGTAAGCCCCACTTTAACATGGGCAGTGTGTTCTGAAACTGTCTGCTTACAAAATCCAATGCTGACTGCTGCAGGAGAACACTTTCCTATTTAATATGTAGTCTGAAGATTTTTAATTTGTCACTGTTTGCTTTTTAAATGACCTCTTTTTAGCACATGGTTATAGTACATCTGGTTTTGAAACAAAGACAACAAGGCTACATCTACACTGGCAGCTTCTTGCACAAGAACAGCCGTTCTTACGCAAAAACTTGCCTGCTGTCTACACTGCATGCGTGTTCTTGCGCAAGTAAATTTACAGTATAGTGTGTAAAACAGGGCTTCTTCCGGAAGGGTTATTCCTCTCCCCATAAGGAATAAGCCCTCTTGCGCAAGAGCTCTTCCACAAGAGGGCAGTGAAGACAGGCAACATGAATTTCTTGTGCAAGACACTCCTATGGTTAAAATGGCCATCAGAGCTTTCTTGCGCAGGAGAGCATACACACTGCCATGGATGCTCTTGCGCAAAAGCACATCTTTTGTGCAAAACTCATGCCAGTGTAGATGCACTTTTGTGGAAGACTTTTTGCGCAATAACTCGTCCACAAAACAGTTCTTACGCAAGTAGCTGCCAGTGTAGACGTAGCCCAAATGTTTAAGGGCCTGATTCTACAAATACACATCAGTAATGTAGGATTGGGCTCTAAAATATGAATTTTAAACTATTTTTGCTAGAATACAGTATGGAATTATGCATTACGTAATTATCATTACAGTTCTGAACATTGTACATATTTGTGGTTACTATAACGTGATTGCATTAGTGCTACAACACTTGGTACTACAATGTATTGAGCACTGTGGTCCTAATCTATCACAGCATTTAAACACATACTTAACTTTTAAGTATGTGCTAGTCCCATGGACTTCAGTGATTTGCAGAATCAACACCATGCTCAGCACCTTATAGGACCGAGTCCCTAATGAATTATTACAGGAAAATATTATGTTCTCTTCTGGTCACTCACCACTAAGAAAACTTTGGGCTTTATTTTGAAATTGGGGTTGACTCTCAGGGAGAGTCTATACTGCACCATAGCTCGAAATAAGATACACAACTTGAGCTACGCAAATTCAGTATCTTATTTCCATCTTATTTTGAAATAGCTTATTCCATAATTTTGAAATAACCCACTATTCCAAAATGTCCCTTACTCCTCATGGAATTAGGTTTACAGGGATGTCGGAATAGCGAGCCCGTTATATTTTGAAATACCGGGCTTGCTTTGAAGACGTGGGATAGCTATTTCGGGATACTCTGGTATCTCAAAATAGCGTTGCAGTGTAGACGTAGCCTAAGAAACACATGGCCTCTGCCAACATGAAATTGAGAGAGGAAAAAATTGTCATTAAGATGAGTCATTTTCAGTTTTCTTTTGCCTAACACAACTCTGTCAGATTGTTTTAATGCTATAATTTGTTCAGTCAGTCCTAGACAAACTGGCCACCCTGCCAGCACTGTGGATATAGGTCATTAAAGCTAACTCCCCCTGTGAGAAGAATGCCTAAGCTCTGGGTCTAAAATGTAAGGACACTCTTCCTAACCATATTGGCATTGTGATAAATATGCAAATTCAACTTTAGGATGATGAGGAGTATTTCTATAATTTATCTTTTATGGTACATGAAAAATGTGGTACATTCGCCTCTCTGTCAAATAATTTTTAAAAAGGGATCTTTAACAACACTATAGTGTTGACTTCTAAAATGTATCACACCTTTTTTTGTATAGAAGACTAATCTGTGTGATATTTTTCTTCAGTATTCCCATCATCTATTAATATGTCTTAATTTTTAAGTGAAAAACATTAAGTGTACTAAACGTATATACTAGCAAATTTATTTTGTTGCAATTGGCAAACACTGGCCTGCTGGGGAAAACAACAACAACAATAATAATAAAGCAGATAAGGATTTTATATCTTGCATACATTTTCCCTGTTAGTTATAACAGATGTTTTATGACAATTTTTTTGCTTTCTCTAAATTATTTAGATGGTGGTATGTGTAAAATGCTGGGTAAAATGTACATATTTGTTACCTCTTTTTGTATATATTTCCCAAGATGTGCACTTGTATTATAATAACCATTCCCAATTTTAGGGGAAATTTGTGCAATAAATACAATATTTCAGTTTACTTGCTTGTGGAACTCTTTTGTTTGTATTGTTTTTTACTTGTGGAAATGAAAATACAAATCCCATTGACCACAGGTTTGAAACTTGGGTGCCTGATATCAGATACGTGAAACTTGGGTGCCTGATATCAGATACCCTTCTTTGCAACCTAATTAAATGTGATGATTATCACAGGTGGGAAGAACACTTAGGGTATGTCTACACAGCAAAGTTATTTCGAAATTACAGCCATTATTTCAAAATAACTTCACTAGCATCTAAACAGCCAAACCGCTATTTCGAAGTTAATTCAAAATAGCAGAGCACTTATTTTGAATTTGGTAAACCTCATTCCACGAGGAATAATGCCAAATTCAAAATAGCTATTTCAAAATAAGTGCCGTGTAGACACTTATATCGAAATGGGGGGGTCTCCAGCCTTCCCAGGGTGCCCTGGTGGCTACTCCAGCCTCAACCAAGAACACTCCTCTCCCTCCTCCATCCCCGGAGCTCTTAAAAGGGTTGACTCTGGCCACAGTGCCTGTGCCAGCTCCAAGCCTGCCAGCCCAGAGCCAGCAGTCATTGACCCTGACGCCGTGGCCCCAAAACGAGCCAGTAAGCCACTGGCAACCAGCCCTCCACCGCTCCCCAGGAGCAGTCTGCCAGCTTCCAGGAGCCTGACAGGGGCCGGAAAGGCAGGCGCCTTCCTGGTCTAGGGTGGAGATCATGGACCTTTTTCAGGTTTGCAGGGGATACCCCCCAATGTCCATGATCTCCGCACTAGATGGAGGAATGCAGCCAGGCTTGCAGCAACGCATCCATGAGAAGCACCAGAGTGCCCAGGGGCAGCTCTGGCTCCATGTTGCAGAGTGCTGTGGTGTCCCTAGTGAGGGTAACTAGAGCACGCAGAGACAAAATGCTTTGCTATTCCTCATCGAGGTAGGCAAGCAAGCAGGGAAGGCTGAGAACCAGCTGTCCGGGGGGAGTGGGGGAGGGGTCCCTTTAAGCACAAAGTAACTCCTGACCTGATGGACTTGGTTCCGGCTGGCCTTAAATGCGATTCAGCATCCACTCAGTGTGGATGTGCTATTTCGAAATAGCAAAACGCTATTTCAAAATGCATTGTGTGTAAATGCGTAATTTCAAAATAACTTATTTCAAATTACCTATTTCAAAATAAGATATTTCGAAATAACACTGTAATGTAGACATACCCTTAGTTCCATGCCTGATTTGTATTTAGGTATCTAATATTATGTCTGTAAGTTTAAAAATGTTGGCCTTAATTTGTATCTGTATTCATCAGTCTAAAGCCATGTGCAGCCTATTAGAGTTCTATGTGTGAATTGCCAGATTCCACTGGTTTCCATCCACATATTTTCTTTTTCCTTCCGGTATTACTAAAGTGATAAGCTTGTAGAGCAAGAACACATGGAGTGAGGTGCATGCTGATTGCACCCAACATTGACTGTGAGAGCTGTGCTCCCGTTTCATCCAATCAAAGTGCTGCTATGGTTCAATCGGCTCACCTCACAAATTCTATGTACACAAGTGCAGTCAGCAAAACTACCCTATCCCAGGAGACCTTCTTGGTTACCACAATCTTGCGGCCCACCGAGATGGAGGGCCATTCATGTGATGGCCCACTAACTAGCCTCAGGTTTGCATCATTGGTCTAAAGAATTAAATTAAGATAATTCCATAAGAAAGCTGGCCTGATTATTCTTGTTTGGAGTGTTGGTAGAGACAGGTTGGTCCCAGGATATCAGAGAGAGAAGCTGGGTGAAGTAATATCTTCTATAGGATTGTTACAGTTTCACGCTTCCGGGACCTCAGAGGCACCGTTGTCCTGTAAGCGCCTGCTCAGTCCAGTCTCACCAGTCTTTAAGGTCCAGGGTAATTAAGGCTCTTCGGGGGGCAGGGGAGTAGGGAGGTCTCGGCCCACCCTCTCTCCAGGCCTCAGCCCAGGACCCTGAGGACAAGAAGCCTACCTTCTTGTCCGGCCGGTGGGAGTGCCACAACTCACCAGCCCTCAGGCACCAACGCTGCCCTGTCCCGGGCTGCTTCCTACCCTCCTGCCACATCCTGCATCCGTCCCTTGCTCCGTCTGCCTCCTGAGACGGCTCCTCTCCCAGTGGGTTCGCGGTGGCTGGAGTTCTCCCCTCTTCCGCGGCCCCCGTGGTTCCTTGCCCCTCCCTGCGGGGCTTCCTCTGTCCTTCTGCCACCTTTTTAAAGGTGGTGCCGACACTCCAGCATGCTGGCACCTGTGCTCTCCTCTCCGCTGCAGCGGGCGCTACCGCACAGGTGCCCGCAGTGGCCGGCAAACACTCCCGGCACCCTCCCCACGTGCGCCACTGGGAGCCTGTGATTGGGCAGAAGCCTTGCACCTCCCCGAGCCCAGCCACTCCCCTCACCCCCACCAGGCTTCTGCGCAATCACAGGTCCCAGCGCCGGTGGCAGTTCCGCCTCCCAACCTGGGAGTCCCAGCTGGGAGGCAGGGCTGCGATCGCCGCTCTGGGTGCTTCAGAAGCCTAGCCGGGGGGGGGGGCGTAGCTGGGAGTCCAGAGCGCTACCAGGTGGGGAGTTCCAGCCACTCCCCCCACCCCAGCCAGGCTTCTGCGCAATCACAGGTCCCAGCGCCGGTGGCAGTTCCGCCTCCCAACCTGGGAGTCCCAGCTGGGAGGCAGGGCTGCGATCGCCGCTCTGGGTGCTTCAGAAGCCTAGCCGGGGGGGGGGGCGTAGCTGGGAGTCCAGAGCGCTACCAGGTGGGGAGTTCCAGCCACTCCCCCCACCCCAGCCAGGCTTCTGCGCAATCACAGGTCCCAGCGCCGGTGGCAGTTCCGCCTCCCAACCTGGGAGTCCCAGCTGGTAGGCGGGGCCACGAGCGCCGCTCTGGGCACTTCAGAAGCCTACCCGGGGTGGGGGGAGTGGCTGGAACTCCCCACCTGGTAGCGCTCTGGACTCCCAGCTACGCCCCCCCCCCCGGCTAGGCTTCTGAAGCACCCAGAGCGGCGATCGCAGCCCTGCCTCCCAGCTGGGACTCCCAGGCTGGGAGACGGAGCTGCCATCGGCGCTGGGAGCCTGTGATTGCGCAGACGCCTGGGAGGGCGGGGTGAGTGGCGGGGAGCCCCAGCCACTCTCCCTGCCCCCGCCAGGCTTCTGCACAATC